CCAGGTGGGAATAGGTTTCATTCCTTGGCCTGTTCCCTCTGGCGGCCCACTGGCCGCCATCCTCCAGAGGCCACTGAACAGAGGCCACTGAACAGTCAGGTTTGGGCCCGCAGTGATGAGACACATGGGGCCTCATGGGATGAGGGTGGAGCTGGACCCTTCTTCCCCGCCCCAATGAGACTCCAGAGTCGCCGCCCACTAATGGCCTTTCTGGCTTCTGATCAAGCATCTTAACAGGCATGATCCAAGAGACTCAGGAAAAAAAATCTCGGAACCCAGCAGGTTTTGGCAGAAATCCCTCCAGATTTAAGTGTTAAAATTTTGTAATTTCAAAATTGCACGGCCACTACTGCAGTCACGCAACATCATGTTATTCATAACCAGCAATAGAAAACAAATTGTCTACTGTTGCCTTTTCAGCAGATCTGAGTGTTGGCGTTAACTCCCGAATAATAATGGTGGGTCTGGTGTCAAAATACTGAAATGTAATCAAAGTAGAGAGAGAGAGAGTAATGTGGAAATCATCTACCACACAGGTAGGGGGAGGGTGTGGGATGGGGATATACTGGGGCTTTTGGTGGTGGAGAATGGACACTGGTGAAGGAACAGGTGTTTCATTGTATGACCAAGACTTAAACCCGAAAGCTTCGCAACTGCTCTCACGGTGATTCTTATTGAAATTTAATAATTTTTAATTTTATAATAAAATTGTAAAAAAAATTTTAAAAAGTAAGATGGAGTTCATGCCCAATTCAATTGGCTAATCAGTAGCTGAATAAATAGCAGTAATCCTACATAAAAAAAAGAGTGGTAGCAATTCTAGTGATCTTATACCTCAGATATAGAATATTCTGATTTAATTTGAAAGATAATTGAAGTAGCTTGCTTGAAAAACTGAAAAACCTCTAAGTGTCATCTTCCTCAGTTCTATTTTTCCTGTTTTCCAGATGGACACTTTCTTTCACTGGACATTTGTCTAGTTTATTCAGGTGTGAGGATACTGCCCCTGGGCAGCTGCATGAAGTACTTATTTATGAGTAGCTCACAGTCTGCTGTGGAGAAGGAATATATTTTCAAGGCTCCTAACTTCAAACCCACTTTCATATTCGTTGTCTTGTCTTTTTTCCATAGAAACATCTGTGCAACATCCACACAACTGGTTTAGAAATATATCCAATGGAACTGTCAGAAGCAGAGCCAGAAAACAGGCCAGACAGAATAATGGCAAAGGGCAGGCAAACACATGTGTGCTCAGACCCAAGCATACATGCATGAAACCTTACAGCTGAGAGACAGCAGGTTCTAGACCACAATGTATTTGTCAAAATCATGGAAAAATACATACTAAAGTTTATAATCAAATAGTAGAAGCTAGCTGTGCACTTTCAGCATGCATTCTTCTATCTTGAAGAATGTGAAGGCTACCTATTTTTTTTTTCCAAACGCTACCTTTCTAATTAAAAGGTGTGGTTATTTCATTGTCTGCTGGAGGAGTGCATAATAAGAAACTCTAAATTTCCATACCATTATCCAAAAGGATTTTATGCACAAAGCTTAGTAACACTGAGTAAATTAGTATTTTAGAGATAATTCATAGTATTTGTATAGAGGTGTAGAATTTTCCCAAAATGGTCCTTTTAGGACACAAAAAGCAAGTAATTGGGAGTAACAAAAACAGAAGGGAAACAAAATCTTGAAGTGAACTGAGTGAAAATGGAGATCCATCTGAAGTAGCTGCAGCTTTATACTTCATTTCACTCAAATTCCAAAGGCCTCCTCCTCTGTTCTGGAAAATGACTCTGTTAGGCTGCAAAGTTAGCCTAAACTTTATTTCAGAGTTTTCAGTGCTATGATTCTGTAACTACCTGTAACTCCCAAATAAAATAGCATGTTTAGAAACACAGACAAACTACAGTTCTGGCTCTAGGAAGCAGATCCTCTAGCATTACAGAACACACAAGGAGAATGACTTGAGTGGATGTGAATTCTTTGTGCTTGAAAAGAACAGTTAATGCAACAAGGGCAATGGCAGTACTGTTAACCCAAGGTGCCAGATTCTGTGAAATCCCTCTGGTTGACTGTCAAATATTTGGGGTGGAATCCATACTAGAAGTCTAGTGGGGGGGAAAAACAACAACAGATGAATAAGTTGTAAGAATGCATTTCAGAACCCCAGTGTTTAGATATCTACTACAGAACTTTGTAGAGACAATTTCCAAGACACTAAAATCTTTCCCTCAAAATAAAAAACTGTCACCATGAAAAGTAATATGTTTCCTCACCCTTTCCCACTTGTACCACATCTAAAGTGGGCCTCTGAGTGGGGGCTGCGATGCACACTCTGGATCCTGGCAAGCACGTGGTCCCCTGAACATAGTGAGGTGTGACCCTAAGCCATGTTCTAGGAGAAGTAGCCCCTAAGCACCTCTATGTGTTCCCCCAAACCAACTAACAAACTAAATAAATAAAATATCTCTGTAAAGAGCAGTATTCAAATTACCTCAAGATCAAACATTTTATTTTCATTGTCACTTAAGCATAGTATCATAAACTTCACTGATCATAAGATTAACACCCAATCTATTCGGAGAGCCCGGCAAGCTACTCGGAGAGCCCGGCAAGCTACCGAGAGTATTCGATATGCCAGACACAGTAACAACAAAGTCTCCAATGGAGACGTTACTGGGCCCGCTCGAGTAAATCGACGATCAACGGGAGGGCCTTTACCTTTTACCTTTTACCTCATTAATAGCAACTTCAATAGAATCATCAATAACCGCTGAGCTTTGCAATATTAAAGTGGGAAAACAGGGTCTCTAGCAAAGGTCTGGATGGAGACCAACGCAACCATTTGAGGTTTGGGGTTTGGAAGTCAAGAAATCACATATATGGGTTGAAAAGGCACTTACATTCCAGCATTTATTACTCATTAAATGAATCTACTTGACCAACAACCTGGACCTTACTCAACTCAGATTTCTTAGCCTTGAAGCAGGAATAATACTCCCATGCAGACCCTGCCACACATGATTGTAGTACTGCTAGCAGCAGCAGTAATATTAGTGAAAATAGGGGATGGAGAGATAATACAGAGGATAGGGCTCTTAGCTTGTACTCAGTTGATCCAAGCTCAATCCCGGTACCACATATGGTCCCTGGAGCCCTGCCAGGACCAATCCCTGACTGCAGAGCCAGGATAAGCGCTGAGCACAGTCAGGTGTGGTCCAAATCACAAACACAAATAAACAAAAAGTAGTAGCACAACTTCTTTTCTGCTAAAGTGTGCATGCTATGTCGTGGACTGAAGATAATGGTGAGATAGGTATGACGTTTTTTTATAGACAAAGAAGCTGAAGCTCAGAGATGAGAACCAACATAAAACTGCATTGTTACTGGTGAAATCAATTTGTGAACGCCAACTATTCTTGACTACAGCATCATGACCTGGTTCACACTAAAAATATATCTTATATTTTCATGTGCCATTTAATGCTATTGACTGTACTTTGGAAATGGCAAAGCACTACAGGAATGCAATGCAATGTGTTAGTACTGTAAATGTTTAAATGATGCTTAAGTGTATTTTCTGCTGAATACAGAACACTATTCTTAGCAAGGAAGAAGCATGAATGAATATGCAACTTGAGACTTAAAACAATGGAAAAATCTGGCAAATAACTTTAAAATAGATGTGACAGTTGGTGATGTCATTTTGTGCACTTGCACATTCACGTACATCTGCACAAAGTCCCAACCCACAAACAGAAAGGATTTCTCAAGACGCCAGTGGAAGTTGCTAGAATTATTTAAAAGCTGGGAGATTTGCTGTGTAGCGGTCAAGGCTCTCCACGCTAACGACTTGGCAGGCTGCTCACAGGAGGTCTTAGAGACACAGGACAAATATGTTAGGCTGCAAACAGTCTGTGGCCAGGCCTCCCTGGGATACCAAAGGGCAGCAACTTTGCAAAACTGAGTGTTACAATGCTTATGCCTCCTCCTGGGAGCCTAAAACAATTATCGTGAACTGGAAGCTAACAAAGGACTATCAACTTTCTCTCCACTATTGTAAGTGTTCTCTGAAGGCTTAGAACAAAGGTGAGATTTTTATTCACCAAGGACAGACCTATTGAATTATGTTGAAATCACACGTTGCTTGGTCACAACACACTCTTCCTAGGAGCAGATTCAGTCTTGAGTGAAACGGACAAAGCAGAAGAGAAGCTTCTCTATCTTTCATGTGTCTGGGTTAATGAGATTGCCCTCCCTCCTCTCAGGCCCATGCTTCCGCTAGCTTATCCATTTTAGGCAGCGAAGCTCTAAGAGTTCATAAGCACTACTACTCTTTCTCTTTACTTTTTTTCAACAAGATATAGAATAAAGCCCACAGGTGAAAGTTTACATCCATAGAGACTAAATATTATATGATCTCAGGTTTTTGGCATACCTTCTTATGGAGAAATGATATCAGCTTCATCTTGAACATATGCAGTGCTAAAGTCTCTACATTCCGCAGAGCTATATGAAGTTCCAAAAGACAAGCTTAAAGAGCTTTTATTCCTTCATTGGTTCATTTACTCATTCAACTCGATAATCATTCACTGTGCCTAGCGTGCACCAGACACCAGTGGGTCCTGAGCAGTACTAGTAAATAATCCAGCTTCCTCCCTGCCCTCAAGAAACGCACAGTCTAGGGGCTGGAGTGACAGCAAAGTGAGTAGGGTGTTTGCCTTACATGCGGCCGACCTGGGTTCAATTCCCAGCATCCCGTATGGTCCCCCAAGTACTGCAAGAAATAATTCCTGAGTGCAGAGCCAGGAGTAACCCCCGTGCATCACCAGGTGTGACCCAAAAAGTAAAAAAAAAATAAATAAATCCATAGTCTAGATATAGTTAAGTCAATAATGAGCAGCATTAGAGAGAAAAGAACGACAAGTCTGGGAGGCTTTCAGGAGGGAGCTCAAGTGTTGTCTCGGAGTCAGGAAAGGAAGAGCACAGCTTACCGCGTTTGTGTTGAGCTTGTGTCGAAAGCAGGTGATGTTCACCACGTATGGCCAGTCGTCAGGTTCCATCAGCACCCCAGCAGCATGAGCACACGTGACGTGAAAGGAGGCAGGGCAGCGACCATAGGAACACTGGATGCAGGCTCCAGACACCTTCTTAACCCGCTGTCTGCAGAAGATGCATTTCTGGAGGGTTAAATCAATTGACAGGATAACAGCCATTAGAAATGGGTGGGTGTGGAGGGAGAGCAGCCAACAAATTGCATCAACAAAAGTTTCAGTCCTCCAGAGACCCTCATGGTGAGAACAACTGAGGCAATAAACTACATACTTTCAAGGAAATACACAGCTACATCGCAGCCTATCCAACAGATGCTGTGACACTCCTGCGGTTAGGAAAGTCAAACCATTCTGCACATGCGTCTCTAGGCACAAAGGCGAGGAAAAGGCCCCAAGGACTTTCCTACAAATCACCCATGAATGCTGAAGTTACTTCTGTTTTACCTCCTGCCTAGAGGGCCTCTAGCTTCAGTATGAATGTGGGTGAAGGAAAGGCACAGTCTCTTCCTAATGAGATGAGGTCTTCAGAAACACCCAAATCGTACACAGATGGGCTAAGTTTTCCATTTACAAGGAAACGTAAAGTGTTAAATGGTCCAATGTGAAAACTAGCACTCAAGTGTTTAATAAACCAAATCTGAACCCTTCATGACTGACAAGAAAATATGCCTCCCAAAGTAAGAAAATTGAAAATCACCCCAAAGGGCATAATTTTGTTGAATATCTATAGCTAACTATGCCTGGGGAAGAGAGACTGCAAATAAAAACAGCAATAATGATTACCACAATCTGAAAATTAAATTGCATACAATTAGCTCTAAACATTATCAGTACATTTGGTATGAGAGATGGGGGGAAAAAATCAAACAGCTTCACTAAATGTAAGATTTGTGAACTAATACTTGCGGGTTAGGGGGAAAATGGTTGTAAAACAACATAGGGTCAGGTTCAGAAAGCAGTAGAAACAGAATGATAGAAAGCTGCTACGGATAAAAAAGGTCATCAATTTGACCAAATGCCAGTACTCTTCTTTTTATAGCGCCATATTCTATCCTGGGACAAAAAAAGGTACTTAAATTCAAAGCCTTTTGGGGACTGTAATATTTTATCACAGACCTGTAGGAATCGGTGTGCACTTAACTTCTAACTCTTCTTTGCCCTTACATCTCATCAGCAACTCTCAGCCTTATAGATTCTGTACCTTAATCTTTCTCTGATCTCTCCCTACCCATCTATACATACTGCCATTGCCTCTGCCCATGGTGACCTGCCCAGCATAGTGATGGCCTACTAACTGGTCTCTCCATCTTTTATTTCATTCCATTTCAATCCATCTTCCCCAGGGCTGCCTGAGTGATCTCTGTAGCATAAATCCCATGTCATCCTGCTTAATGTCCTCCAGTGGCTCTTTCTTATCTCCAAGACACTGAGAGGAGAAAGGGAGAGGAGGAAACAGTGTGAGAAGATGAAAAGTTGTAAAAGTTGTCCCTGAATAGTTTTGTTCCTCACTCGTCCTCATAAGAGGACCACTCTTGGAATATTTATCTCATCTCACTATACGTCGGTATAGAATCCAGTGCAGTATGAAGTATTTTTAAGTGACTGTTAAAGTTTATCTGACTAAGAAATTACAGGCATATACAGAACAAGAAGAAAAAGAGAGAGAGAAGGAGGGACTAGGAAAGACGGAGAGAGAGGTTATAAAAAAAACCCATAAAACTAAAATAAGACTGATTTCTTAATATTTTACATTATCTCTTTGGTAATTCTTGAATTAGTAATTCTTGGCATTTTAGGCATTTTTGGTGGGGTCAGTTCTAATTATTTGAAATGTGATGGCAGCTATAAAAGGAAAATCTCAAACTGGACATCTCAGGGGGAAATCAGACAGTCTCTTGTTGGTCTAAGCATACAACAGAGAAGCCAGTGAGTTCATATACTTATATACTAAGACGTATTAAAGAACGTGTATGAAATTGTTTTGTATTTTCCTAACAGAATATTCAAGAGAAGGAATTTGTTAACTTAGCTAATTATTGAATTGGCATCTCTCGGTCTCTTTCATCTTTACCCAATCACTTTCTTTTTTTTTTTTCCCTTTATTTTATTTTATTTTTTTTAAAGTTGTAGATTTACAATTTTTTGTGCTTTGGTTTCAATTATACAATGATCAGATACCCATCCCTCCACCAGTGCCCATTTTCCACCACCATGGATAATATCCCTCCCACCCCCATCCCCCCATCCCCCCGTCTCTGTGGCAGGGCAATCCCCTGTGTTCTCTCTCTCCTTTTGGGTGTTGTGGTCTGCAAAAGAGGCATTGAGTGGCAAACATGTTCAGTCCATAGTCTACTTTCGACATGCATCTCCCCTCCTGGGAGGATCCTCCAAACATCCTTTATTTGGTGCTCCCTTCTCTATCTGAATAGCCCTTTCCTCTAGGATACCCGGCTGGCCTCTAAGTTATGGAGTAATCCTCCTGGTGCTGATCTCAGCTATTCTTGGGTATTAATCTCATACTTTGTTACTTTATATCCCCCAGATGAATGCAATCTTTCTATGTCTATCCCTCTCTTTCTGACTCATTTCGCTTAGCATGATACTTTCCATTCATCTTTACCCAATCACTTTCTATTACACATAGCCTCAAGAAAGAGGAAAGGCAGACAGAGAAAAGGCACTAAAAATCCAGCAGGGATCCAATCCTTGGAATTTATAAGGGAAGTGCCCAACTTACCAAGGTGTTCATTTCTATGGATATAATCAGCATCCTTAGAGAGCATCCAACAGTAGACTAATCCACAGTATTTAAGATACTTATTAACATAATTTAGAAGCTTGACTTAAAACATTAAATAGATTCTAGTAGAGAGAGATAGAGAAAGACACACACACAGCGAGAGAGAGAGAGAGAGAGAGAGAGAGAGAGAGAGAGAGAGAGAGAGAGAGCAGGCAAGTACCACAAAACCTACAGGGTAGCCATTCCCCATCCTGTAGTATAATTTACGTTGTATTTACAAATTCCATTTTCACCTGGCTTGCTATAAGATCTGTTTTTATCTATGCTGGCTAAAACACCAGCAGCAATTTAACACCTAAATGTATCTGGTCTATAGAATTTAATTCATAAGGAAAAAAGGGTGGGAAAAATAGGTATTTCTTAAGAATGTTACAGTGAGGTAATACTATGAAACAAGCATGTACAAAAGACTATAAGGTACCACAATGAGTACTGTTGCCTGGGAGCAACAGAAGAATAAAGGCACAACTAGGATTAATTTTCAAATAAGATCACCTAAATACATCCTCGAACTATCTTAGAACTGCAAATAAAAGGAGAAAACTCACAGAACCTCTTTAAGAAAAACATAAGATTACCATCAGAGATCTTATCTGCAACAATGACTGCTTAAGACAATGAAACAATGTCTTTCAGCTTTTGAAACAAATTAAATTTGGTCTATATCTAATCTAATTATCATTCAACTGTGCGGACAAATGAAATAAATTTTCTATCTCCATAATCAAGCATCAAAATATGCATAAAGAAGAGCTACCAAACTACTGACATAAGTAAGTCTAAATTAATAATGATTTCAAAATATAATAATACGTACCTTGAATTTTAAATAGAGAATTTAAATAAATGACAACATTAAGGGATAAGGAAAAATGGTAAAAGTGAAATTTAAAAAACTCTAACACACTTGAACTATCTTGGAAAGTGGTAATAGTATCAAACAATAATCAGAAAAAAATAGAACAATAAAAACTAATAAATTGTAACAAAGATGTGTAGGGAAGAAAATAGAAAGAGAGTCAAGAAAAAGTACACTGTCAGCTATAGAATCAAATCCAAATATACTAATACTAAGGTTTAGGTAAAGAGATTAAATTTTCATCTTATAGTCCATGTGTAGCAAAATTTTTCTTGAAATGCCAAATAATATTGTAGGCTCTGGGTCACATAGCTCGAGATGAAAGTCCTCAATTCTATTAGAGCAGTGTAAAAACTGCAAAAGATAATCTATAAGTGATTGGTGTGTCTGTGATGCAATAAAACTATTTATAACACACAGGTTTTAGTTGCTGATATCTGCTATAGACTCTGCACACGTAAGTGAAACTAGTACCAACAAGCTATGAAATGACAGACTTGGTACTTAATGAAAATCATACTTAAAGAAGAATGGATAAAGGGTACAACTTAGGAAACACACAGAAATTCAAAGGCAAAAGATAACAAAGCTTAGATTTAGGAAGAGGATGTTAGGAGAAAGAAAAATTCTGAATTTGTTCATCTCCCTCGGTCTACAGTGATTCTTTACTTCCTTTAAATAGAGCTATTCACTTAAGGACAGAGTTGGACAGTCTACATGCTGTGGGAAAAACCTCTCTAGTAGTTGCCTGAAATCTTTAAATGGAAGGAAGTAGAGGTGACACTAATTGTAGGGGGACCAGGAAAGAACTGAGCTTGTGAAGGAAGGAAAGTTTCTGAAAAACAGGACCAGTGCCTGCTGTTCATCAAGGCTCCAGTGTTGCACTGGGAAAGAGGATGATATTCCAGTTTCTGGATGATGATGAATATAGGAAGTTAGGGGTATAAGGGTGTAAGTTAGGCTAAATGAGGTAGCCTATGGAATCATACTGTGTGCCTTAGAGCAAAGCTGAGTCTCCTTGCTTGATGTACAGGAAGACCACAGTTAGAACAGAAAAATGAAGAGTGACTTGAAGGCACCATGCACCTTTATCCCTTCCAAGTACAGATGCCTAGGACATCTGTAGTTGCTCAGCCAATATTTGAGGAAGTAAACTGAATCCAAAGGAGCAGATTTTGTCAAGTTACAGATCTTCTCATCTGTTTCCTCAACAGTTAGGGGAAAAAAAGTGGCACAAGGATGTTTAAAAAGCACAGGGGAATGAATCACTGGAAAGCGGGCTTAAAACACAGACTGCTGGCCCCACGCCCTGAGTTTCAGTGAATCTGCACTGAAGCTTAAATTTGCATTTTTAACAAGCTCAGTGACATCTCTGTTCATCCAGGGATCAGGATTTGAGAACCACTAGTTTAGAGTATTAAGGGTTAAAGAGTGGCAATTATTCTGAGAGCCTCTAGCATAAGGGAA